TGAAGCACGTCAATTCTCTCCTGGGGAACGTCTTCGTGAGCCTCTTATGGTTTCAGGATAGTTCAAATCCTATGATGCTCCGATTCAATGCTCACCGATGATCTGACCCATGGGGCAAGTTTGTTTTCCTAAGAATCTATTTGAACATTTCGAGAGCATATGTTTGAACATTTAGAGTGCATATGAACATATATTTACGAAAGGTCGCCTTCGAGGGGATAAATCACCATGTCGAACCTTGCATTTTTGTTCCTGACTCTCGCGTTCTCTTCTCTTCCCGCTGTCCTACCTTTCGTGTCTCCCTCCTCTCAAGTTGGGTGTTCTTTTTTGGTCTCCTATTCACCATGGGCTTTTCGGTCAGCAGGTTCATTTTTTTGAGGAAGAACTCTTCCTGCAATCATCAGACCAGCGGAGCCATGACGAGGAGCTGTGAGGATCTTCTTGGAGATGTGCAAGAGCTTCAACGAAGCAACGTCGGATCATCTTTTCGCACGTGCAAGTTAGATGGCGTTCAGATTGTGATCCCGACCCAAATATGTTGAATCATGTTAGATGGGCCTTTCCTTGATTCCTTCCCAGTCTGTCGAGTCTTGATTTCCTCGTTTTTTTTTCGATGTCTATCCACTCTCCACTGCCAAACTTGTGCAGCACAAATGGTCGCCCTGAGGCTCTACCAGCATGACGCCGCCTGTCGTGTTCGGGGCCTCTTTGGGGTTCCGTTGTTCGGGTCGACGAGATGTCCAGCCGCGACCGGAGAGGAACTTTCGAAAGACACCAAGACACCTTCTTACTGTCAATGATGTCAATGAAGAGGCTTGCCTTTCGTGACGAGACATAGCTCTTGGACTGGTGTGGAGAATAAATACATCCTCGAGGTCATCGCCCGGCTGATCCGCGAGCGGGACATGGTCAAGGCACAGAACCAGAAGCTGCAGGCGGAGCGGACGGCAGAGCGCCGACGACGGACGGAGCGGACGGAGCGGTTGACATGGTGAAGGAGAAGATGAATGCGGTTATTGTACTTCATGTAATTGTTCCAAGTTTATGTTGAGTTTTATCTTGAAGCTTAAGTTTTCATCATGAAAGGCATCTTTCGTTTTTTTTTTTTCCGGGAAGGTGTTTTTCTATTCAAGAGTAAATGTTACACACATGTGTTGACGTTGATTGCCACACCGAGCACGACTGGCTATCTGGACTGGCTATCAACAGTTCCGGCCCTCCAAAAGAGATGTGGGCCTGGTACTTCGCGTCGGACGGCTTTCGGATGGGATCCCGGAGTGTGCTTGTCTCCTTTCAGGGCTGGACCACAGCTCAGACCGCTCAGACCGCTGGTCTGCCCCAGGAAGAGCTCTCCTCGGCACCACTCTCGGGAGCCATCCGTGAGGTGCGTGCCAACGACTCGACGTCGACGACTCGGCGTGGGGAGGAAAACGACGACAACGACTGTTTTCGACCACGACTCGGCCATCTTCCACCGCCGAGAGGTCAGGGAAGGATTCTTTTCGAATCTTTTTTGGTCTGGCTTGAAACTGCTGGGTCTTCTTCAGTGGCACGCCGGGGTACTTACTTTCGTTATGGCTTTTGGACCGAAGATCTGGACTGAAGATGGAGCCTAAAGAGGTGCTACTGAAAAAACTGTCCGGACGGTGGCATGCCCCCAGGATGCTGACACGGGCATCACACCAGAAATCCTGCAGAAGATGAAGGAGCTGGCAGATAGCTTGCGGCACCCTTAGTGTGGAGTGTGGAGAAAGTGTTCAGTATGTTCCTGGAACTGCAGACCTATTT